AGAGGCCCGCGCATCTACATTTTTTCGCCTGACCCCATCAGTGCCGACCCAACTACACCACCACGCGCATGCCTCGCGGCGGATATGCGCAGCAGCAAGAAGGTTTCGGTCATCCCTTGAGGGTGAGTCTAGCCCTGCTCGCCAGAAAGACCCCCCCCTTCACTACAACCCTTGTCTAAGCAAAAGCTTGTCGAGGAGCGAGGGGAAGAAGGGAGAATGGCCGGTCCGCCACGTTACACACATAATAAGACTACATAGAAGTACATCGAGGCCGATAATAAACAGTCAAGCGTTGGGGCGTTGTGCCTGTGTGATTTGTATGCTTGTAGGTCCACCCGCTGGAGTGTGGAGTTGTGCTAGAGGGGGAAAAGTGAAATGTGGCTGCACATGGGGCTATCCGATTCCGAGCATGTACTGGATGGACTACACAGAACGCGCGCCTCCTGCGCGCGGCGAAGGCAGGCGACGACCGTGTTTTCCCCCTCATTTTTTAGTTTCTTCAACGAGTATGGGCGTTTTGCGTGGTCGGAGGAACACTAACCAGGTTGGAGGGGACGAGAGGAGTCGGCGTGTTCGGATGTTGGAGATGGATTCACATGTTCATGGAGACGGTGAGACGGTTGGTATGGATCCGAGTCCGTTGTTGATGTCATCCCGCACATGATCTCATGATCTGATCGGATGAACGGTGAGTAGAAAGAGTCGGCTGTTGTAGGTACGCCGCATGCGATCTTCTTGTTGCGGGAGCTTTGTTGTGTCGCAGCAATAAATGGTACTGCGACAGACAACGCTACCATACTCTCCCTTTTTCTGTGTACCGTTGTTGGTCAACCCCTCCCNCCCCCCCCCCCGGGTAGTAGACTAACCGTTAGTTTCCTGCCGTTTTTCTGATTTTCCGCGAAACAACCAGCATCGCATAGTACTACATCCTTGCAGGTCGAACAACACAAGTATGAGAGTGATGAAGGTGGTGGGGTAAGTTCGTTATCTGGTGTGGGTTCGAGAATCTCGGTGCGGGCATTTCACACAATCTGGAGTTGTTGCGCGTTGTTATGGTATTTGGAGGTATACATGGGATCGTGATTGATCATGGTTATTTGGTGCCGTCGGATGCTAGGACGTGACGTCATGCTAGATCAGGGCTTCATGCCGAGGCATGTGCCCTTCTGTTCAGTGTGCGTGCAGACGATCTCTGATCGTGTGTGCGTGGGATATTGTGAGTTGGCTTGGCAAGCGTTAATCAAGAGAAAGAGAACAACGGAGAGCAACAACAACCTGTACTGTGGTCGGACAAGAGAGTTCCACACAGCTCAAAGGTGATTGATTCTGAAGGAAGGGTCGAATACCATTACAGCGTGCGAACGCAGCAAAATGCGCTTCCCAGTCGACGAGGAATAAGGAAACGGCCGAATATTTTTTTCGCGAATAATTATGACATCTACGCAGAAGAAGACAGCGGAGAAAAACATCCCTGCGTGTCCTTCCTCCTGGGTGACCCGCGAGCTGGTGAGTTTTTACAATTTACAAAAAGGCGTGAAGAGTGGTGGTCTCTCCAGAACAACTGGGGCACCGCGCACCACATACACACCTTTCCCCCCCCTCGGCCTGCTCCCCGGCCGGGGCCGAAATCGACCTGGTGCNGCACAGACGGTGGTAATGGCGAGAGGTGTGTATGGACACTGTTCCCGCGGCAGTAATGCAAAGCGGCAAACTGCACCTGGCAACCACCGTCGCGGAAAGCGTGGCCCACGAAGCTGGAGGAGTAGAGAGATTCGTAAACACCACGTCAGTAAGCACCGCTCGCGGGAGAAGGGAAACAACCGCGGGCACCGCTGGGAGGGAGTGCTGCACCCTCCTCGTCAAAACACCACAGGCAAAAAACGAGCACTGCAGAGATGGATTGATGCGAGGAAATTCGCCGCTCGGAAAATACGGAAGAAAGCACACCCGCAACGCGAGGTGGACCGAGAGAGACACGAG